AAAAAACACAAACATCATTGTAAAATCAATACATTTATCGTTTCACTCAGGATCTAAAATAGAGTTTCTTAGAACTTTAAAGTATTCATAATATTTTAATAACACTCCTATATTATTTTTAAGACATAAAAATAATAAAATGTAAAATAATAAATATAGCAAATTACCTTCTCTCATAAGTACAGCAGCTTCTTCTCGAACAAATACAGAAGGATCAGTTTTTTTATTCATCATTGTATTGACAACTCTTTCTTTCCGTGATCCAATTAATCTTCGTTTATGGTAATGCATCTTACGGAAATCTCCATGAAAACTGCTCTTCATTATAACCCTAATTTAAAATACAATATGAAAAATTATAATTGTTAGATGTTTCCATTTATGTACAAATTACAAATAAATTATTGCATATGAGAATTAACGTTATTCCTTCATTATTTTTTCTCAATAATTTTAAAAAGTAATAAGAATTTTAAATTGTTCCCTCCCAATAGTACTAACTTGATTTATTTTGGTATCAGAAAACATCCTCAAAACTAAAATTCAAAGCAATGTTTCTACTATGAATCGTGTACACATTTAATAAAACAATATATTATACTGACCTCGCATTTGTTGCTGGAACTGCATCAATTGTTCCATAGAACGTGGAGTGACAGTCTGAACATTTTCCATTGACATTTACAAAGGTCATTCCATAGAAGCTCACGTAAGGTTTTGTGAATGATAAGCAACAAGGCAGCTGAGTGTGCAAAAAGAAGTGGTCTTGGATAACATTACTCCACTCGTATGGTGTTAGCATTGTATACGTTCTTGGGCCTCTTTTTTTTCATTGTAAACTTTTTCTCTGGGTTTTATTAATTCCCATTCTTCGGCTGAGAACGTTATATCAAAAGTTATTTTTTCCTTCGATGAACTACAGTCGCTTTCATCACTTGACGGATCGTTTTGTATATTAGACCTATACATTTTTATAAGTATAAAAATTAATATGAAATACACGATATTTTTATTAATAAGGAATGCAAACAAATTTTACTTTAAAATTGATTCTGAACTGGTATTAAAGTGGCCAACAATTTTGGTAGATTTCGATGATGGTACCAAACCTAATTCTTCGAGTTGTTTTCCTCCATCACGGCATACTCGCATACGCACTGATCCAGGCGTTACTTTATCCATAAGACCCACACTGAGATTGTCCGCAATTTTTTTCCAAACGTCCGCATTTATACCAGCTATTTCTGAAGTAAGTAATAGAAGAATAAAATATAACTAATACTAAAGGTTTGATATGGAGTTACTGTAAGGTGACTGGCAGTTTTATGTGGATTTAACACAAAAGTTAAGTATTCTAGGAAGATCTTTATATATATTATTTATTTTTTTGTAAATTAGTGTACTTACTTCGACTATTTTGGCAAATAATTTCATTCTTGTATTTAATTATCTCGTTATTAATTATTGTACCTTTTACCTTCGGTTTTCTTCCCATCTTAATCTAAGATTCAGAGTATTTTATATGAAAATTAAATAAAATATTGATTTATTTAATTAGATGATAACAATTTTTTATAAATATTTTTGTAGAATAATTGTTGAATTATTGATATTTATAGAAAAAAAAAACTAAAAAAATTGAAATTTGAAATTGTCCGTAAACAGCTCAATTTTTTTTTTGTATTTGAAGATTATTTCAAATACTTTTGAAATACTATTTATAGTATTTGGGTGGTATTTTAATTACTTTATTTAAAGAGTATTTGAGTAATTACTTAAATACTTTTAAAAAGTATTTTTTACAACACTGCTTTCAGATGAAGACAATAATATAAACAATAATAATATAGTATTATAATTAATCTAATCTGTGGACTGTGGTGATGTGGTGTAACCAAGTTTATACTATATAAAAAAAGATTCAGATTAAACTATTAAAGTGATTAACAAATTTTTAATGAGTCGGACTAACCCACCTGCAATAGCATATACCTAAATATTTTTCGAAATTTGAGTGGCTTACCCACCCACACAGCATTTGTCAATCAAAACAATTGTATAAATATTAAATTTGAATTGGATTTAAAATATTTAAATTTAAAAGTTTATTAATTATTGATAACATATTTAATTTTTTACCTATTAATTAAAATATTATATAGTTACGAATAAATATTAGTTTAACAATATTTAATTTTTAAAGATGATTAAAAATTGAATAAATCTTAAAATTTAACATTTAATCAACTTGAAAAAATAAAAATTTATTTTTGGTTTAAAACTCATTATTTATTCATTCTTTAATATTGATATTTTATATTTATTTTCTATTCGTTGAATAAAATATATTTAATTTCCAATGTCAATTGGAAATTAAATGTATCTTATGATATAACATTAAATAACTAAACTATATTAATATTTATTTTTTATTAATACTAATAATTTATTCAATATTTATAATTATTATTTTATTTTTATTTTTTATTCATCAAATAAAATATATATTATTTTCAAAGGAAATTTTAAATTAAATGCAACTTAAAATGTAACATAAAGTAATTATAATATACTAAACAATTTTGTATTTAATCTTTACAATGTATATTATTTTATTTTAATCTGCATTAACAATAAGATTATGATTGTATACCGCAATATTGCGCTTAGCAGCTATATAGTTGACAATAATAAAATAATAGATGTTCATAGTAAACCAATAAATTTATTCGATGAGTATTTCACTACAATATTAATTGGTGTTTATAAATTTATCCAAGATTTAATGATATCAGATCATACAAATGGAATATGGAATAATTTTGATATATTTTTTAGGTACTAATTCTGGAAATAAAAATGAAGCTAATGAATAATGGTGCATCACTGTGTTATGACTTATGTATTATGTGTATGCAAGCAGTTTAACTATAAAATGTATTAAATTATTAAATAATGTTTTTAGTAGGTACAGTATAAGTAAAATAGGATAGGTATAGAATCTATCTAAATCTACGTAAATTTTTAAGCCCCATTGTTTTTTATTTATCTCTAAATGCAGTTGGACTCAAAAATACTAATACAATATTATATAGGTAGTAATAAGTATTCCTAATGATCGACCAAGAGTATACAAATAACTTTTGAATATTAGACGGTGCTAAATAATTAATATCTGTCTTCCGTTGTCTCATATAGTTCAGATCACTGAATTGAATTGAAATTAATTTAATTGGCACCTATTTAGGAATTTCAGAAAAATAAAATATTTGCGTTACATACATATTATACTGCTATAGGTACCGATAAGTAATTGGCGCTCTAGACTATAATACAGTCGTGCTATACAATTATTTTTACATATTACCTATACTGATTGTAATATATTTGAATTACCGTATAATTGAAATATTTATTGGTTTGTAAATTGTAATAGCAGGTAGGTATCTATTTTTTAGCTATATATTATAGTAAAATACTAAAATATAATATTAACGAGGTAATAATAATAATAATACCTATTACCTATAGGTACCTAATAAGTAATAATACACAGTATATTATAGTATATATAATACATATATATAAACCTATAATAATATAATATTAACCGCTTTATTATAATAGTTAAATAATAATTATAATATAAGATGGGTAATATTTATTATATACACGCAAGCACACAACGCATTAGTATTTAGTAGGTAATGCCAGAGCTATCGCGTATCATGGATAAGGAACAGTTGTTGTTTTTTCCATAATCTATTGGAAACTTTGAAATATTGGCTATTTTTATATTATCCGTGAATTTTCTAGAAGCGTCTATTACGACCCCACCCTACTCCTCATTATCGACGACAGTACGAACTACGAATATCAGCCGCAGTTCTGCGTAGCGCGTCTGCAGTCTGCAATTCTGCATTTAATCTTTTTCCATGTCCACTGTCCGCACGAGCAAGTCCGAAACGTCGAAACTGACCCGTAGACAAGAAACTCAATCGCGTTATAGGTAAAAATCAATTATTTTGGTGTGACATCGAAAGTTCAAGTATTTGGCACTGCGCACTATTATTATATACTCACTGCGATACCTATATGGACACATCACACATGGAGTTATAAATGTTGTAAGTATATAACTTAATCAATATTATTATTGTTGCTATACCTACCTACTTATATAACTGAATAATAATAGACGTATTCGTGTCCGATCGCTTTGTAAAAAGCTGCTAGGTTTTACTATAGCTGTTATTAGAATTTAGGAAGTACCTATTATCTTCTAATCATATTCTATAAAATCGAAAATTGAATTTTGGAAAATTTTCACTTTAACCTACCGTAGGTATTTTTTGATTTTCTTTTACTTATTTATTTTAAATAGTTAAGAACCATGATGCAAAAAAAATAATTTGGAAACTACTATATAGTTTTGAAGTTTAGGTATTGCTGTTTTGTTTATTTTATTATAAATATTAAATACTATAAATAGGGACTCTAATTTTAATATAGATATAAATAAAACTATGTGCAGTTAAATTAATAGTAATATACCTAGGTAGGTAGTAGCCAGTAGGTACTAATTTTATAATAAATATTATAATAAAAATGAGTCTATACTATATTATACCTATATAGGCACATAATAATTACCTAACTATCAAAAAAAAAAATTAAAGTTACCGACAACAATTAATAAATCCTAGCATATACCTACAAGTAAAACACTAAGACATAGCAGCTTTTTACCTATAATGATCAAACTTTGTTGGTATATTGATTATAATTTATTTATACATAACCATATAATTATGTTTACATACAATATTTTTTATTCCAGCTAGTTGTTGCACATATATCAAGCCTAATCTGACGACCACTATAGATTTAGCTAATAGTAAATGGTTGATAGTCAGTAAGTAATTTTTGTATTTATACACCTAGGTATTACCTACTAAGTTAAATAATTACTTTTATATAATTAAAAACAATATTCAGTTATGTATAACCATAATATTAGTAAATCTACTAAGCGTAGAAGGTTTTTAGAAGAACTTGAAACAGTAAATTTTTTGATCGATGACCAACCTGAATTAGGTCCACAACCATGTTGTTCATCTCATGAAATCCCTTTTATGTCAAGTTCTGAGAGCTCTAATAATCTTAAAACTGAATCAAACATTTTAAACAAACCACTTGATGCTACTGAAAAAAATAATTTTGTACATGGTTCTTTTTCAATAACTTCCGATTCTAGTAGTGATGAATCTATTTGTCATGAAATTAATATGCTGGACATATTTGATGAAGAACAATCAATATTAAATTCTTTAGCAAAATGGACCGTGAATTATTCAATTACATCGGAATCTTTTTCTAGTTTGTTAAAAATATTAAAAGGGCATAGTTGTTTCAACAATTTTCCTGTTGATTCAAGAACAATTTTAAAAACAAATAAGAAAAATCAATCTAGTGAAATTCAAACTATTCATCCTGGTTTATATTACCATTTTGGTATTGAAAATGGTTTAAAATCTCTTTATGATTTGAGTCTTTTTGAGGAAAAAATTAATTTAGTTGTGGGGATTGATGGCTTACCACTGACCAAGAGTTCTTCAAGTACATTCTGGCCCATTCTCGGTTATGCTCGTTATCCTAAATATAAACCGAATTTATTTATAATAGGTCTTTATTGGGGGAAAGAAAAACCTAAATGTAGTAATTTGTTTCTGAATGATATGGTTGACGAACTTAAACGTTTATCCTATAGTGGCATGATTACAGAATTTGGTACTAAGTTTGTTGTTTTAGATTTAATATGTTGTGATCTTCCTGCTCGGAGTTTTGTTACTCGCACTAAGAATTTCAATGGATACAGTTCTTGTTCAAGATGCACTGTTGTGGGTGAAAGAATTAATTTTACAACAAGCTTTTTGGGAACAATTTTTTGTAAAAGAACCCATAGTGACTTTTTAAATCGTACTGATGATGATCATCATGTCACTAATGATGTTTCTATATTAACTGAAGTACCATATATTGATATGGTTACATGTTTCAGTTTAGATTATATGCATTTAGGGTGCTTAGGTGTTATGAAAAAGTTAATTCTCCTTTGGTTAGGAATGATGAAAAATGCATCTGTATCAGTTCGATTACAAAATTGTGATGTAACAAAAATATCTAATCATCTTTTATCCATTAAATCATTTATTACAAGTGATTTCCCTCGAAAGACTAGAGGGTTAAATGAAATTTTGAGATTTAAGGCTACTGAGTTTAAATTTATGCTAGTTTATGTTGGACCAATTGTTTTAAAAGGTGTAATTACAGATGAATGTTATTCTCATTTTCTATGTTTACATGTAGCCTTTAGGATTCTGTTATCACCACACAGTAGTATGAATCGTGTAGAGTTTGCTGAAAAATTACTCGTATATTTTGTAGAAACATTTGAAGAATTATATGGGGCACAGTTTTCTTCTCTTAATATACATGGTTTAATACACCTTGCTGATGATTACAGAAAATATGGAGCTCTCGATAATTGTTCATGTTTCCCTTTTGAGAATTTCATGAAGTTCTTAAAAAAAATGGTTAGGAAACATGAAAAACCTTTGGAACAGGTGATAAATCGTTACCAAGAATTCATAACTTTCAACAAACCATTGGTCAATAATAATAGCAATGTATCTTTCAAAAAAGAACATAGCAATGGTCCTTTAACTGAACATTATACTGGACCTCAATTTCAAATTCTTATTAAAAATAACCTTAAAATTAATACTAAGTCTGGGTCTGATGTATATATTGGTTTCAAAAAACAAAACAAACTATCTATTTTTAAAATTCTAAACATATGTCATGATCCTTGTTCAGGTAAAAATGTATTTTTAAGTAAAAGTTTTACTCAGGTTGAACCATTTTTTGATAAACCCATTAACAGTTTGAAGCTAGGTATAGCTAAAGTTGGTAATCTATCAAAAAATTTTACAATTATTGATATTGAAACTGAATTTTCTAAATATATGATTATGCATGATTATAGTCTCAACCATAGTATTGCATATCCTATTATACATACATATTATGAATAGTGTGAATATTAATTATAATAGGTATTAAGAATTTTATTTTATTGTTTTGTCACTTTTTAAATATTTTTAGATTATCAGTTATTATATAATTTGTATTTGCTAAATGTGTGAAATTTTAATTTAATAAACAATATTATTACTGTATTCTATATGTATTATATTTTATAAAGGTATAAAAATGAATACCTATTCAGTGGTCGTTTTTACCGAAGATAATTCTATTGAAGCTGTTCCTACAAACTGGTTTAAAAATAATAAGTGTGCCTGGCCAATAACCAAAAATCATTCTACAATTAGAAAACTAATTGAGCGAAGAAGTGTCCCTAATGAAATTGAATATACTTATTTCAACGCCAGAGTATTGAAAACAACTGGTAAAATACTTACTTAAAACTATAGTTTTTAATTTATTGGTGTATATTTGGTATTGTTATATTTATCTATGTCTTATTATTTATGGATATCATTATATATTTTTAATTTGCATTCCAAGTTAGGTATGGTTATAAATTATAATAAACCAACATGACTTGTAAGTTTGTGCACTAAGAAACAAAATCAATAATAAGCTATAAAAGGTTAATAATATCTCGAATGTAATTTCCATAATATAATGTCACTTATTTAACTATCGAGACAGCAATAAGTCCTGCTTATAACATAAACATAATATTACTATAATATAACCTTAATAGTAACATATTATATTATACACTTATAAAGAATCAGTATAGAGCATCAATGACTATGTTGATATCTCATACTATCATATTCATAGTTATTATACGTTATACTTAAAAATGTACAATATTATAGATTCATTGCTTAGAGCTCGAGAAATGACAAAAAAAGGCTTAAATAGAACAGATATATCATCTGCTGAAGACTATGATAATATTGTAAGAACCAAACGTAAAAGTAAGGATACAACATTAAAAAATATAATGGAGCCCAGTTCCTCCTGTCCAACTTACTCAGGTACCTACATTAAATATTAAAATACCAAAATACTTGGATGTTTGTTAAAAAAAAATTTTTTTTGATTTAGCATCTGAGGATGATGATGATGACAAAAGTACTGACGAACGTAAAGCTAGGAATACACCTAAGGGTGGATGGTCACCGTCACCGAAAAAAATTAAATTTGGGTTAAATGATGATGACAATAGTACTAACGAACCTAAAGCTAGGAATACACCTATGAGTGGATGGTCACCGTCACCGAAAAAAAGTAAATGTGAGTTAAATACTTACTTTTCTGAAATACCTACTATAAAATAATAAATAAAAGTAATACATCCCATTTGTATATAGTTTTGATAAGTCCTGCAATTTCTCAAAATACTAAAATCGTAAACAGCAGCTATTACAAAGAAATGGATCACCATTCTCAAACCAAATCAATCTCCAGAAAACTTTCTTATAATATTGCAAATGAAGGTATGTTGGTTTAAATAAATTATTTTCAGCCTAAGACGCGTAAATGTTGGTATAGAGACGGCATTGGGAGTAAAAGATGAACATTTTATACAATTTTACAACATAACTCAGTATAAATAGCTATTATTGTGCATTTACAAACATTTACATCTGCAAATTATTTTCTTTCATTGTATCATATAATATAGGTACTATTAAAATAATATAGAAACATCTTATTATAATTTATAAATTGTAATCTAATTTACAGTAACAGAAACTATAACTAAAAAACCATTAAACCGCAATGACTATACAATTGATAATGATGGGGACAGTGTTGGAAATAATAATGACATTAATACCATTGATGTTTTACAAGTTGATAAAAATATAACAAAACCTATTGAATCGCAACCAGGTAAATTAAATTAATTATTTCTAATTAGCAAAACTAACAATAACACAATATGTATTAATCCATGACTAGGTATTCTAAAAAATGATGAGCATTTTGTGAAAATAAATGACAGTTTTAATAATACATCCGCTTCCCCAGATGACCAATCATTAAATAATACAATTTCATATAAATCAGTGGGTAAGTTACATTGTATGATATTCATTAATAAAAAAAAATAATTATACAAATGTGGTTTTTAAAATGTCCTGCAATATAGATAATGGTTTTCAAAAAGATGTCCTGCATAGATTGGCTTTTATAAAGTATGAGTTAAGAAGAGTTGTAAACAATCAATTGGATTTGAGCCAGAGATTTGAAACATTTGAGTCCAAATTTGAAGACATTTCACATGCTAGTCATCCAGATAACCAGTCATCATTGAACAATATAATCGACTGTCCTTTACCTATGGATAATACAATTGACCTTGAGACGTTTAACGATAAAATATCTGGCGATAGCAAATTCAGAATTAATTTGGTATACTAACCAACATATTTTAAACATTAATTATTTTTAAATAGAGCTGAGAATTTGTTGGATAAGCGTTTTTATTAAGCTTATTGCAAAATAAAATTTTCCATTGATAAATATTTTTATTTTAATTGAGGAACTATTGAAATAGTTTAAATGTTAAATTTTTTTATTAAATGGTTTTTTATTTTCAATATGACTATTGACCCTTATATTAGAATTTTGATTTTTTAATGAATTGTATGGTGTTTTAAGAATATTGAATGTAATGTAAAGGTCTTACACAGCATCAGATTCACAGCCCTAATTATTTTAACATTATTTATAACCCATACCTATAGTCAAATTATTTTCTGTTTTTTTAAGACCAATCAATTATCTTACATTGGTGGAAAACATAGTAAGTCAATGATTAAAAGGATTATGAGTAAGCTGTTTACAGATGAGTTGTTGAAATTGTATTCATTTAGCGGGAAAAAAGGAAAAATTAAGTTTTCACAATTAGCTGTTTGTTCAGTCATATTTGGTAAGTTCACAATTACATTGGTTTTATTAATTTATTTTAGATTCTGAATAGAGCGATGAATAAATATTGATATCTTAATTCTTAATCTAATAGAGATCATCATTTCCCTTCAGAATCACTTTTTATTATATACAATAATTTATCATTGAATTCAAATTTAAAACATCTACGAGTGGCCTACCCAATGGCGAGGTGCACTCAAAACCTACTATACAGCAGAGAAATTTTCCTGTTTTTAAAGTTTTAAATTTGTTTTCAATACAATCGATAATCTAACAAATGTGACTACCTAACCAATTTTTCCAAATAATTATAGATTTCATTAAACAAATAAATAATGTATGCAGATTTTTATCATTGTTCTTATAATCAATAAATATTTTTACATCTATCCAACTTCCTTAGTATTTTGAATTAAATAACATAATATTATCTTAATTCTAATATTTAAATAATTAGTATGTTTTTGTAAATTAACATCTGGATGTGTTAGATTATCATAATGATTAATTACTGACCCAACTGTGTATGCCTATTAATTATTATTATATTAATAATGATTGCCAATACATTTTATACTTGCAGATGCAGTCAAACAAAATCATAAATTCAAAAACGTTACTCAAAATGACATGGAGGAAGTTATAAAATATGTATTGGCACAAACATTAAAGTAATATTCTAACATATTTATTATTCATCACTATGTTTTTAACTGTGTTCGAGAGTGTATATGCGTTAGGTACTCAGTGATTCTTCATTCGAATTGTTTTGGAAATCGAAAAGAGATTTGATTCATCGTACATTTTACATTTTCTTAAGCTATTAACCATTGAAATCAAAATAATCATTGAGTTTTTATATTATTTTATATTTATAAGTAAGTTCTCAAATACCTATAAGTTATAATTTTAATTTTTTATAATTTTAGTATAAATAAAATTATATGAATTACAATAAAAATTTAAAATAAAATGCATTATAAAAATTTATTACAAGTGTAAATACAGTGTTAATATAAATTTAAAAAAAAAGTTGTAGGTACACAAAGCTAGATCTCATAGTCTTGTACTTCGTTTAATCTGAAAAAAAAAAATATTACACCATGTTGGTGTAAGAATCTTGAAATAAAATTTCAAATTCATCATGTTTTCAAAAACTCAAAAAATGATCCAACAACTCTAAAATGCCCTAAAAAATTAAGAAAATGACCTTAAAACTAAAAAATTCCAAAAAATGCAAAATAAACTTTCTTATTCTCATTCAAAAGTACATGAAACAAATTGTTGACAAGACGAACTTGCACTATAAGCTTTGGAAAACAATGCAAAGTGCATCGAAATCCCAGACCTACTACAACCATCATCGTCCGACTAAAGTAGGTATGTATTTTATACGAAAAATAGTTTGAAAAAGTCAGACGCACATTATGACCAGTCCCTACACATTAACACAAATTTACGGAATATTGAAACGAAACTTCCAACTAATTCCAGGGTGGTGGTTAGACTTCTCGACGCGGGCCGGGGGTTATTTTATGCGACTTGGGGGACCCTGGCCCCTTACGAGCCCTAACCTATCCCCCAACACCTACCACTGATTCCAAAATTTTGTTCTTCACCATTTTGTTCTTCCTCGTCCCCCACAATAGAAACTTATCCCCCAAATTCACCTAACCAAATCCCCAAAAAACCCACTGAAAATTTTACATCCCAACCCCTCAAAAAATCTACTCCCCACGAACCAAACTTTTTTTTTCATCACCACACTACACATAATCTGAGGGGTGCTGAGAATGTCCCCGGACCCCACTAGGAAAGTTCGATATCTCGGGAACAGTGAAAGCACAAACGTTGGGATCAAGAGCAAAAACAAGCACAAACGAAGCACAAAAGAATGGCCCACTTCAAATTTAAAATCTTTGAGGTGGGGGTGCTGAGCATGTCCCCATTACCCCCCACTTAGAAAGTTCGATATCTCGGGAACAGCGAAAGCACAAACGTCGGGATGAAGAGCACAAACAAGCACAAACGAAGCACAAAAGAATGGCCCACTTCAAATTTAAAATCTTTGAGGTGGGGGTGCTGAGCATGTCCCCAGCACCCCCACTTAGAAAGT